CTGATATTTGAATGAGACATGATAGCAACTCAAGGCAGCCATGTTGATCTAGAGAAGTGAATTCAAAAGATACAAAGAACGTTGATTTAACAGAAATTGATCATTGATCAGAAACAGTAAAGCAGAGTTTAAATGAGTACTGCTTTTCCATTTTCAAACTGTGAGATCTTTAGCAAGTAATTTGGTTCCTTTAAATCTTACATCCATTGTGTGTAACATAATAATAATTTACCTCATAATTTTTTGAAGATAAAGTGAAATAAATCATTTCAGGCATTTAGCACACTGACCAGTACATACTGGATGTTAAATAAATCTTGGAATGGGATTAGATATATGAGATATGAGAAAAGGGCAAATAAAAAAATCATCTTGAAGATTCTTATTTAGATACACAGACCAAACTGTTGATAGGCTCCTTCAACAGTTTAAACACAGTATTTTCACAGTTTATGCCTCACCCTTTCCTTTGGCCCCTACTCTCCACATCTGGTGATCTTTTAATGAAACCTATCAATCTATAACTTGAAGATAAGACAAAAATAAATTCATCAGGTTATCTGAGAAGAAAAAGATTTGTGAGTTAGAAAATTCTCCTTGATGAAAAAACTACTGCAATAATTATCATTTTTCAAAATGTATAATATTGATATTCAGGAAAATATTTTTATGGAAGGAAATATGCTGTTGCCATTTTTGAAGAATGTATATTAGCGCACACCTGTGGATTATCATATGTGTATTAATACAATTTAACAATCTGATTTACATTTTCCTGATGATAATAAAGACAAAATGCTTTGAAATTTAGTCATAAAATCAAAGCTAACAGGGGAATGTCATTCACATCTACCATAGTCTCCCTGACAAGTAATTGCTTTGTGTTGACCAAACAACATTTTTCTAACAATGTTCTTGCTATAGTGTCTGTCAAAAGCCCATCATAATTCTCTATAATAAACTCTATTTCCTAGAAGCCTATGCATTGGTCAGACAAATAAACAGTGGCATGACATTTTTCTTGCAGAATGTGGTCTTGTTCTGAAAGCAATTTTCCTTGTATTATTTCTGTTTGAAAATCCATTCATTTGTGACAGCAGTGTAAAGAGAACATTAATTTTAGTACTTTGGGGATTGTTTTCCTTAGTGGCCAGTGCTACCCTGCTGATGACAGTGGGGAACTTGTGAAATTGACAGCCTGCTGGCAGTCTCTCAGGAATAGGGCTATCAGATACACCGAAAAATGGTGTTCAACTTTCATGCAACTTTCATGTGCCTAGTTTGAGGTGCCATGTATCAAAACCTAAATTGTTTTAAGAGTACTCCCCTCCAATAGTATGAATAGCAACCTTCATAAAGGGCCTTCTCTATGGCATGAGACATATTTTTTATTATTTAAAGTAGTTTCCAGTTGGAATTTGGGGATTTATAAATAGTGAAAATGACAGATATCGTTGGAAATTGCAGATGTCTTAATTCCTACAAACACTTCCCTTCTAAACATAATTACATGTGATGTATTTCTGTCAAATTCCACTTTCTAGGGATCAAGAACACTATATGGTATAAGCAACGTATCTCAAGGTGCCTTTGAGTAATACTTATTAAAGGTGATTTTAAAGTACAGATTCCTAGGTCCTAATCTTAGGTGTCTCTCTCTAAGAGATGTGGCCTATTTTTAAATGGAATTTCTATGTTATTTATAATAAGATAATTTGGAGGAATACCACTATAGTGTTTAAAATATGTATTTTGATAGAAACAAGATTCATTTACAGAAATGAATGCCATTTCTGCAACTTACTACTCCTTAATATCAGAAAGTAATTAATCTTTTTTGATCTTAGTTTCCTCTATAAAGAAGATATACAGTACATTTTCTATCACGTTATTGTTTCAAGGACGATGGTTTTGATAAAAGGTCCCAAGATACATTATCCTCAAAACTGAAGGATCAAAACGATCCTTAATTGCTTGAAAACCTAGACATTCCATAATATGCACTTGGGAAGTCTCCTTGATATCTCAAATAAAGGCATTATGAAGAGAAAACTGAGGTCTAATTCAAATTTAATTTGAATAAGCAGATTTAAATTGCTTCACTATACTTACAGCAAAAGAGTCTTTATGTTTTTTTCTATAACCAATCATGCCTGGATTAAAGCCACAAACATCATAGTTTTCATTGATTTTTTTTTTTCTTTTTAAAGACATTGTCCTCCTTGATCTTTATCTAAACCCGGGGATTAGTGATCCAAGAAAATGAGAAACTCCTTGACCCATGATCCTTGATATAAAGAGCTACCTCTGTTATAGCATGCTCTCCAACCCCACCTGCCCATTGTGGTAGGCAGAAGAGTGTCTCTGCCCCAAGATATCTGTGTTCTACTCCCTAGGCCTTGTGAACTTGTTCTGTTATATGCCAGTGGAAAATTAAGGTTGCTAATCAACTGATCTTAAAATAGTTTACTATGAAAAAAAAAATTTGCTATAAAAAAAAATAGTTTACTATGGATTTTCCAGGTGGGTCTAATGTAAAAATAAGAGCCACGGAAATTTGGAATAGGGAGACAGAAAAGTTAGTGTCAGGATCAGAGAGGGTGAGAGACTAGAAGATGCTATACTGCTGTCTTTGATGGTGGAGGAAGGAGACATGGACTGAGGAACGAAGGCAACCTATAGAAGCTACGGGATGCAAGGGAACAGATTCTACTGGAAGAATCTCCAGAAGAAACACAGGCCTGCTGGCACCTAACTTTGAGCCCAATGAGACCAATTTCATACTTCTGACCTCCAGAACTATAAAATAATTATATTTTTGTTGTTTTAAGCCATGAAATTGCCACTGATTTGTTACAACAGCAATAGGAAATTACCAATGAGGTAATTTAGATGAGTGTTTTAAACCATCTAAAAATGAGCCGAACTCATTGGTAATTTTATTCCCTCCATGACTTTGTTATGTTTCCAAATCTCTGGCATTTAGCACTCAAGTATCAATACACATTTGTTAAAACAGAGAACAGACTGTGTTTATGGAAATGAGAAAAAAATTATGCACAAGACTCAAGGCCATGCCAGGCAAAGGTTAAGTCAGTGGTCCCCAACATTTCTGGCACCAGGGACGAGCTTCATGGAAGACAATTTTTCCAGGGACCAAGCTTAATTGTCACTTGCCACTCACTGATAGGGCTTTGATATGAGTCTGCAAATAATTTATTTATTATGGTCTCTATGCAGTCAAACCTAATGAGAATCTAGATTCACAGCCACTCCCCACCGCTAGCACCACGGCCTCAGCTCCACCTCAGACCATCAGGCATCAGATTCTCGTAAGGAGTGCGCACTCTAGATGATCCCCCACATGTGCATTTTACCTTAGGCTTAGCCCTTCTGTGAGAATCTAATGCCAGGGCTGATATGACAGGAGGCAGAGCTCAGGTGGTGACACAAGTGTTAGGTAGGGACCAGGAGGAAGTTGAAAACAGGTGCAGAGGCCAGGAGGTTCTGTAGAGATACTGTTGTGGGTCAATTAGAGGAGGGTAAGAAGACCACAAACTGAAGAGATGGCCCAATTGCAGAAACAAACACCTTGGGGCATGGGCACAGATGAGCTGGCAGCGACCTTAGGTGACCTACCCTCAATTAACATAGTAAAAATCACACCCACCAGGTGCCATGACAGTTTACAAATGTCGTGGCAACCGCTGGAAGTGAGCCTATAAGAACAAGGTAAGGCAGGGTTTACGATTCCAGGAAATTTCCACCCCACTGACCTGGATCAAAATGAATATTCCGCCCACCATTTAGCATACCATAAGTTGCAGACATAAAAGTAGAGATGTCTTAAAAACCCAGGGTTTTCTCCACTCCCAGAGATAGACCCATTCTCACTTTGAGAAATGTGCTTTAATAAATCTTGCTGTTTGGCTTGGTTATGCCTTGTTGGTTTGCTCATTCATTCTGTCGACCCAAACCATTAACCATTCTCCGGGACTAGGAACCAAGAACTGGGAAACATCACACAAACTTGAACCTGACACAAGTGATAAATCCAGGTGATGCTTCAATCGCTAGTCCACCGCTCACCTCATGCTGTGATGCCAGGTCCCTAACAGACCAGGACAGGTAGGGATAAGTTACCCACCCACCCCTACACTTAAAGAATAAACTATATTCTAACTGCCACTTTTTTTTTTTTTTAATCAGCTGAACTAGCACTAGCCCAGATATAAACAATACTGAGACAATTACAGCTTACCTACCACCAGGCACTTACTAAATGATACCTCACCTCCACCCACAAGCTACAACTCTAACTTTGATTGGGCAAGAGACTGATTTCAGTAACTGTTTCTTTATAAAACACCACGGACTCAAAGATCAGTGTTGGCCAGCTCCCCAGTGTCTGCACATAGACTTCCCGTGTGCCCTGTGAAAGACCTCCTGACGTAAAGAGCTGAATTCCACCTCACTTTGCTATTAAAACTCCAAAACACAAAATGAACATGGGATGTGTGTTGCATATATATTTCCTCCCTGCTCTCGCATTTGCTCGCCCTCATAAATAGTCAAAAGATTCCCCACCCCTTGCTGAATAGGTGTTAAGCAAATCCTGCAAAGCATAAATGGCAGTTTCTCCCTGCTTTCCCCGATCATGTACTAACAATGTCCTCAAAGTCACACGTCTCCATTTGCAGGTTGCCTTTTGCTGAAGAATAAAGTTTCTATTTGCCTCTTCTGTGGAACTCATGATCTCTAAATAGCAAACCCAATCTATGTCATCCTCACTCTTTCCGGTGTTTCGAAATCCTCTTCCTTCGGGGTTTATCACTTCTTTCTTCCTTTCAAATTACCAGGTTTGCTTAATACCCTACTGGACCACCGGCTTAATTACTTTGATAGGCCTCCAACTTTGAAGCCTAGAAGTCTCAAAGTAACGTCTAGGACAATGCATCCACCAGATTGTAAAATAAGTTGTTGGAAAAGAAATAATTTACCTCTCTTTTGATGGCTGCAGGTGCCCCAGTGTTTAGAAACAATGTTCTCATCATACCTTTCTAAAAGGGCATGAAGGGGAAAAAGAAGAAAGATGATAAATGCATAACAGTGGCAGAAGAAAATACAATAATTTTTTATATTACTCACCATTGTATTATTAAAGGCTTTTGTTACATCAGAGGTACATTTGCTATATAATTTCTGACTGAGTCAGACAGTTCTATTTAGAAGGGAACTGAAGCAAAAAAAGCAAATAAATGTTCATCTAAGGATTAAATTAGACCTTGGAAACATTTGTTTAGCAATATTGCTGTGTTTTCTATGACATTACTTTAATTTTATGTTGTGATTAAAATATTTTAAAGTATGTTTCACAAGCCCATATTGCAATTTAAGCCTAAATGCAATAAATCATAAAGCTAATGCTTATTAAAGTGGTGTTGTACTCCTCTTACTAAGTACTTCATGTTGCATTGTCTTATCTATCATCACAATCACCAGATAAGGTAGGCTATATATATATATATATATATTTTTTTTTTTTACCAAATTAGGAAACTGAAGTCCACAGAGATTAAATTCCTTGCCTTAGATCACACAGTTTCTTAATGCAAAATACTGTATAATGGTCAGCAGCTCACTCAAATTCTGATAGACTTAGACTCCCAAATCAATCTGTAATATGGTAGGATTGAGGAATACTCCCCTCTATAATCTTGGTATCTATACTGTAAAATGGGCCATTCAGTGACCTTTTAGAACTGCTGTGAGTATTAATAAAGGAAAGAGATAAATTAAAAACATCTAGAATATACATTTATTACTATTACTTAAAAGTGTTACTATTTTCTTCCCTTACCCCATTTTAGTATTAAAAACTTGATCCTGGAAGATGAAAAGACTCAAAGTTACAGATCCTTAGTAAAAATAGAAAGTGGTTTCTAAAAATACTAAAGAAACCTAAAGTTTATGTGCATGTAAAATGCATACTTATTAATCAAAGTTAATCGAGATAGAAAGTGTTGGTACAGTATGTGGCCTATATGGCCCTGAAAATCAAGAAAAAGAAGTGTGTCATTATATATGATTTTATAGTTTGTGTTTCTATAAAACAAATTAGCTCATACCAAATTTTTATATCAAGAACTGATGACATTATAATATTGAACATATTCTTGAATAATATTTCCGAGCTAGGTAAAGTTTTATGCAATTAAGTAACAAATTAACATAAAGTACATAGTTGAACACAGAAAATTTGGATACTATATATGTAGATATAGTATTAATATCATAGATATAATATGCGCAGTAGTTTATGTATACATTATACACACACATATATATGGGTCAGAACTCATAGCACAGGATGAGAAAGAATTCTCAACACAAAGATTAGGATAGAAAGAAGTAAAAAGTTTGTTTTTCTTTTGGGGGTCGGGGAAGAGAGAGGGGAGGGCAGTGGAGAGATGGCTTGGCACACAAAAGAAAGAAAGTGCTGGTGCTGAGGGTAAGGAGTTCTGGGTTTTTATTGGGAGTAAAGGGAAAAAAAGATTATTGTCGCAAGCCAATAGCAAAAGACAGCTATGAAGCAGCTGGGGCGGTTTCTTCTTTTCTTTTCTTTTTTTCTTTTCTTTTCTTTTCTTTTCTTTTCTTTTCTTTTCTTTTCTTTTCTTTTCTTTCTTCTTTTCTTTTCTTTTCTTTTCTTTTCTTTTCTTTTCTTTTCTTTCTGTTCTCTGTGACACCGGCTTTATCAGAGTCCTTGGAATATGGTCTAGTGAGAGCTGGAGCTGGGGTAGGGTCACATTCTTTCTATCTTCTCAGTTCTTTTCAAGTGCTCTGAAAAAAATCTCTGAAAATAATTTAAGCTACAGGTGGTTAATCTTAAAGAATTGAGCCCTAGGTGGTTAATCAAATAAGGGCCTGTGATCTTTCTCTCTCTCTCTCTCTTTCTCTTAGTTGATTTTTCTCCATTAGTTTATTAGCAATGCTGTTATATATATATATATATTTCTCACAAAGCTAGTATAAAGAACTCCTTCCTCTTATCTAACTATGGTTCTGTAGTATGTGTTAGAAATATTTATATCTCTCCTTTTATGAATAAGACAAACACAAAGGCATTTCTAGCTTCATTCACACATTCCATTTCTCACTTCATTATATTTTGTAAAAAGCCTGCAATTGTTTCCTCACCTGCAGCTTCTGTGGATGATATCCCTCCAACTTTAGTTTCTGTAACAAAGTGGCTTCAACTTTTTCTTCCTCTACTTTTCCTCACACCTCCCCTGTTCAAACTACCCTCTGAATTTTGTTAAGACTTATATTTATTGTCATATATATTTATGCATGTGAGTTGAACATATATTTTAGTATATATTTGTGTGGGGATGCATTTATTTTTCACCCAGAAATACTAGTAAAATTAAAAATTCTGGTTCTGGTAGCTCAAAACAAATACTGATATTGCAAAGATATTTATTGTGATTATAAAGTTATTGCCTAATGCATAAGCCAGTTACATTAGGTTTGCTGGAATGTTATTTCATCCATTTTCAATTGAATAGGGCTGCACTAAATTACAGGTATACTCTTATGAAGAGCTTTAGCTCAAGTGTTTGAAAATATGATCTCCAGTAAACACTTCATGTGAAAGACTGTGATTAAAATTATTATACATTTCTGTAAATTATATATAGACTCCTCTTTGCCTCAGCTATAAAGACATGCAGAAGAAATATTTTGTCTACATTTTAAAGTTAGAACCATCTTTGGTCTTGCATAAAGACATGCTCCTGTTTTATTCTTTACATTTGTACATTCATTCTGGGAATGTTGTTGCAAAACATAAAGTTGCTTCTCATAGACCTACCTTATTCAGAATCACTTGAACACCTCCATAAACTAAAGATGTGGTTCTCAAAAACCTCTCTGCGAAGCCACTTATGTTGCAGTGAAGTGCCTCACAGTACATGATATACAGAAATGAGGAGATACAAATAGACACAGACTTCTGCCTCAACCAGTACATCTATTTTTACCTACATTTTTGAGACATCTCATATATTAATTTTAATTGCAAATGAGGAAAAGAAGAAAGCAACTACATGTCTTTTAATTCAAATTGGTATTATGCAAATTATTCTGAGATTCCCCTGCAATTTATATTTCAGATCTTAATTCAATTGAAATCTTTATGTACTCTAAGATTCAGATAATCCCCCTGTATTTATTGGTATGAAACTAACTTGCATTTTGTTTTATCGATGTTTTCATAAATTGTTTATTTTTACTTAGAATTTCGTTCAAATGTCTTCTTTCTAACCCAACTGTCAAAAAGAAAACTTACAACACAAATATACTGTTTCTTCAATTTTTGTCAGCTTTATTGAGTTCTGATTGACAAAAATTATATACGGTATATTTAAGGGGTAAAACATGATATTGTCATTTGTCAGTAAATTATGATACAATTACCACAACCAAGCTAATTAACATATTCATGACTTCACATAGTTTCAATATTGTATGCGTGGTGAGACACTTAAGCTCAACTCTCCTAACAAATTTCAAGCATAAAATATAATATTATCTAGTATACTCAGTATGCTACACATTAGATATCCAGAACTTACTCATCTCGTATAACTGAAACTTTGTTCTCTTTGACCAACATCTCTCTAATTCCCCCACCCCTAGTCCCTGATAATCACCATTCTACTCTTTGCTTTTATGAGTTTGACTTTGTTTGATTCCACATGTAAGTGAGATTATGCAACATTTGTATTTCTGTGTTTGGCTTATTTCCCTTAGCATACTGCCTGCCAGTTTCATCCATATTGTCCCAAATGATCGAATTTACTTCTTTTTAAGGGATGAATTTTATACACACACATGCACACATGTGTGATATATATCACATTTATATATAATATATTAATATATAAATATATAATATATTAATATATAAATATATATTATATATATGAAGGTTGTCCAGAAAGTATCCAGCCTTGTAATATGAAAAATAGTATTAACAATGGCTGGATACTTTCCAGAAAGAAGCCCTCGTATCCTCATATATGTATATTCATACATATATCCTATTTTTACATCTTCTTTTTGTTTATTTCAGAATATTATGGGGGTACAAATGTTTAGCTTACATATATTGCCTTTGTCAAAGATACAGGATGTTCATCCCCCAGACAGTGTGCACCCCACCCATTAGGTGTGAATATACCCCCCCTTCTCCCCTCTCTCACCTGCCTGACACCCGATGAAAATTACTTCCATATGTGTGGATCAATTAGCAACAATTTGATGGCAAGTACATGTTGTGGTGTTTTTTTTCCCTTTCTTGTGATACCTCACTTAGTAAAATGGGCTCTAGCTCTATCCAGGGTAATATAAGAGGTGCTAGATCACCATTATTTTTTTGTGGCTGAGTAGAACTCCATGTTATGCATATACCACATTTTATTAATCCACTCAGGTATTAATGGGCACTTGAGTAGTTTCTACATCTTTACAATTGTGAATTGTGCTGCTATAAACATTCTAGTGCAGATGTCTTTTTTTTTTATAGAATGTCTTTTTTTCCTTTGGGTAGATAGATGCCCAATAGTGGGATTGCTGGATCAAATGGTAGTTCTACTTGTAGCTCTTTGAGGTATCTTCATATTACTTTCCATAAAGGTTGTCCTAGTTTACAGTCCCTTTATTCACTCATCCACTGATGAACACTTAGATCCTTTCTATACCTTGGGCTATAGTAAATAATCCCGCAATGAACAAAAGAATGCAGATACCTCTTGGACACACTGATTTCAGGGTTTTTTTTGGCTATATGTGTCAAAGTGGGATTGCTGGATTATATGATATTTCCATTTTTAATTTTTTCAGGAACCTCTCTATAATTCTTTCCATAATATCTATACCAATTCACATTTTCACTAATATTATACAAGAGTTTTCTTTTCTAGACATTCTCACCAATATTTATCTTTAGTGTTTTGATAATAACAATTCCAATAGGCGTGAGGTGTCCTCTCATTAT